CATTGCTAAAATAAATTCAATTTTTTAATCGCTTAAACTTACGAGTTTTTATTTTCTAGTTTTTGGTCTTGATTGTTTATTATTGAGCGCTTTAATCGAGATGCTTTCAAATCTACTTTTTCAGTAGATTCTTTTGTCTCAGTGGTTTCAGCTTCATTAATTTTATTTTTTCGTTTACGATTATTTTTTGATACCGCACGTTTTTTTTCACTTTTACTTTGAGTCATACCTCCTCCTTTTTTGGAGGTTATGCCACTGGGATTAATATCAATATTGTGTTCATCTTCCATACCTTCATCAGTCTTATGACTATCAGAATCATTTTCATTGTCAAATTCGTAATCGTCAAAATATTCGTTGTTATCGCCTTCGTAATTTTCATTTTCATACTCATCATTACTTAAATCATTCTCACTAAAACAATCTTTATTGGCGCTATCAATGTTGGATACTCGTTTCCGTTGTGATTTAGAAAATGTTCCACGTCCGCTGTAACGCTTTCGATCAGTATTTCTATCGTTTACCGTTTTAGTAGTCACATCTGCTCTTATATGTACCTAAAATAAAAAAATATATCAAACTTTATATAAAAAAAACTCAGCACAGTGGGGTCGTGGCATAGTTGGGTCCAGTATAGATGATATTTGACAGTGATTAAAATCACTATCATAAAAAACGCTTCGATGCAAATCTGTAGAAAGTGTTTAATTTAGAAAAAAAAAATTTGTTAAAATAGCATATTTTTGAATACGGTAGCCATTTGCGCATAGAAGATAGGTCGTCGGGACAAACTTTTTTTTTATTTTATACTACATAAAATAAGCTTTATTTGATATATGTTAAAAGAATGCAGTATTTCCGGAACATTTTCAAAAATTAAGTTGAAAAAGTTATTTTTTGTAAAAAAGTTACTATTTTAAATCCCCCCAATGAGCAGAATAAGTGTTAGATTTTCAAAAAAAATTATATCAAATGAAAGGGAAATATCTAAGGTTTTAATACAAAAAAATATTATTTTTATTTGTTCATTTTTGGAAAAGTTATGGCAGTTTTAATTACAAAAAACATCCCGATAAAAAATGATTTTTATCGCAAACATTACATTTTTTTTTAAATTTTGACAGCCATTTGCACATAGAAGATAAGATGTCGGGACAAATTTTTTTTTTTCATTTGATAGTATATAACATAACCTTTGATTTGATATATGTTTAAAGGACGCAGTATTTCCGGAACATTTTCAAAAGTTCAGTTGAAAAAGATCTATGTTTTTTACAATATTTCAAATTTTGAACACCCCCTTTATAAGGGGAAATTGTCCAATTTTAATAAAGAGTATGTCAAATAAAATATATACTTATAATGTATTTAGAAAAAAAAAAGTTGTGCTGATATATACATTTTTCAAAAAGTTATAGCATTTTTAAGTTGAAAATTAAAATCGAAAATTTTAACACAAAAATAGTGTTTTTTTAACTACGGCAGCCGTTTAAATGTAGAAGAAAAAGTGTCAGGAAAAATTTTTTTTTTTCATTTTGTAGTACATAAAATAAGCTTTAATTTGATATATGTTTAAAGGACGCAGTCTTTCCGGAACATTTTCAAAAATTAAGTTGAAAAAATTAATTTTTGTAAAAAAGTTGCCATTTTAAATCCCCCCCAATGAGCAGGTTAAGTGATAGATTTTCAAAAAAATGATATCAAATGAAAGGTAAATATCTAAGGTTTTAGTATAAAAAAATATTATTTTTATTTGTTATTTTTGAAAAAGTTATGGAAGTTTTAAGAAAAAAAAGTGAAAAAAATGACAAAATTTACCGATTTTTAAATTTGTAATTTTTTTGAATATTTCCCCCATTTTCGGGAAACGAGGGAATTTTTTTCAATTTTTCAGTTTTTTTAAATGGTAACACATATTTTTAATTTAATAAAATGTTTGAGTTTTTAATTTAATAATAAATGGCATTTGAATT